GTATTCAATATTTTTTTTGCAAAAAATTAAATTTTTTTACAATATACTCTTTAATCTCGATCTATGCAGTAAATGCTAGCTCAAGTATAAGATTTGTTCTCCACAGTTTAGGTTTTTTGGCTAAAACTTTTTGTTTACCAAATACAAAATAGAAGAGTTTCTCAAAAAATAGGTAATACATTTTCATTATTTGTTCTTTTGTATTAAGAGCAACATGTAAAGGCTCAAGTAAAGGAACAAATAATACTATTTCTTTTGGTATTGAAGTATCATTTTTATTATAAAAATTAGTAAGTGCTTGATGAATATAATACTAATCTAGCTAATTCACAACAATTAGTACTATATTATTATCAAAATGCTTTATTTCTTTATTATAATCCAAAATAATATTTAATACATTTAGGTAATTTTGCATAGAATATAGTTGTTATTTCTTTACTTCTATTAATATTGCTCTTTTTATTTTGTGCTCTTTCTTTTATTCTTCAATAGAATTATTATAAAAATGAATTGAAAGCTAATCAAATCTATGAGAATGACAAACTATTTCATTAGACTATCTATTGTGAATATAACTTATCAAAGCAATACTAAAGGTCTGGTGATCTTAGTGTAGTGGTTAGGTTGCCAGACTGCTATGCAAAGGTCTAGAGTTCAAATCTCACTGTTGACGAATTTTAATAATTACTCAGACCTTTGTACCTAACTTATGGTAAACTTTGCTCATTTCTGGAGGTTACAACTATGTAAATCATGTTGTACTAATATCAATCAGATATTGGAAATATGATGTACTATTCGAGTTACATTGCATGAATAAATCTTGATAGGATCTATGAATGAGAACCTGCATAGTAGAAATCCTGAGTTTGGTAGAGTAGTATAGATTTTGACAGTCAAGTTGTTTAATACCTGATCTAGTGAAAAATCTGAGTATAAAGGATATAAGATCGATAGGTGCAAGTAAATCTGCTGTGTAATACAGCCTGGTGCTTTGCATTAGTGGCAATACCAACTTGGCTTGGCAGCTAACTAGATTGGAAGAATCTACCTCGTGAAATATCTAGCTAAACTTGGAAAACTATATTTAGTGAATGGCTACAGCAGGAACTAGGTTTGTACGGACATCGACAAGGGTCTAATCCAAGTGAATCTGTGAAATAAGCACATGACCACTCTGGTAGGAATTATTTCTGAGGTTAACTGGAGCTCTGCAGCTCACAATATGTTGAACATATGTATTCTGAGAGGACCTAAGCTATGCAGAGAATGGATCTACAGGTGAACTAGCTAGCTTAAGCAGTCAGTCATAGTGGTAACATTAGTTTGGGATAGGGGGAAGAGTTAATGATCAGAGTGTTTAAATAGGTAACTCACAGGCAGGTTGCAGGTATAGCAGCATAGTGTAGAACCAA